AACCTGTGGCAAGTGGTGTCCTCTCTAAGTAGTCCCAGGTCAAGTGTTTGTGCAGTAGCTACTGGAAATCACTTGTATGCTATTGGAGGCAGATCAGATGTTGAACTTGTCAACATTGTTGAAAGATTTGATTCAAAGGAAAAGGCATGGTACCTGGTTGCCCCAACTCTAGAATGCCGAGTAGGTGCTTGTGGTGCAGCTGTCAGTGAAAAAGTATTTTTGTTTGGTGGCTTCAGTAGTGAAGTTGAGTACTCACATACAATCTTCTGTGAAATATATGACCCAGTAACTAATATGTGGAGTAGCATTGCAAATGCAGTTACCCCAAGAGTGTACGCAAGTGCAGTGAGTTTCAAAGGAGACATTTATGTGTGTGGTGACTTTGGAGAACATAACTCTCTGCAGATTTATGACATTGTTGCCAGTGAGTGGAAATTTTGCACCACGTTTCCCCAGAGTGATGAACAATTTAGAATTTCTTGTTTAAGAATTCCAAGGGAGGTTTTGGATAAATGTCCATTACTTTCATAGACATGCATGTGTTATATTATTTTACTGTTCTTCAAGGCCAAACTTTCAAAGAATGATTTGTTGTAATATAATGTGGCAAGGATTAATAAGAAGATTATTAAGAAAATATAATCGTAGGGATGTTGCCTTGTTGTACATATGTAGCAGATTGTCATCAAAAGCTGTATCTCTAAAAATAATTTTTATATATAAATCTTTAGTAGATGATGTAGAGTTTTTTCTTGTAACAATAATTAAGCATTTTACCATTTTTTTAGCCTGTGTCACAGACAGAAATTTACCTGTAATAAGTAGTAACCCTGCAGTACATGTAAGTATCGTCTGCAATGCAGGCTACCAAAATGTCTGTAACCAAAAGTCTGATCTTTGGGGCACTTTGCTGACAAATTTCCATTGTATGATGCATTTTGTATGATTTTTTCTTTTTTTTTTGCTGGACAGGAATTTTCATTCATCGGTAATTTCTTATCCTCCATCAAGAATATAATAGTCTCCTTTTCCCTGTGGGGTTTTAAACCTCATGAATGAAGATCATGTAGTATTTTGTTAGTTGCACATGTATATTACATTATAGATGTATATCATATTATTAGGTTGTTGTATTATTTTAATTTTTATGTTTCTTTGAGTGGTGGTGGGT